GCAAAATAGTAGCAGAACAGTTAAAAAGCTTTATAAAGTATCAGCATAATATTTTGTTCCGAAACCTTTTTTGCGTTTACGTACATTTATCACTTGTGAAAATAGAAGTGACATTTTTTGTTACAACTCTTTCGAGATTTTTCCATAATGATATGGCAACAACACGATTCTACCATTTATAAATTTCATAAATATATTTTATTAGATTTAGCTTTATCTTTACCCATTAAAGCCGCATGCCTCCAGATGAGCCAAAATATTTCAAGAAAATCACACATGACAAAAAAGATTTTAAAAAAAGTAAAACGAATCAAGATTCAAGTAATAATTCACATGTTATGTGCGATTAATGACTGGTTTTGCAGTATTTATCTACAAAATTCTACTACATGACTAAGTTAGTTAAAGCTTTTTTTTTTCTTTTTTTTTTACATATTTTGACCTTTTGTTTTGGTAATTTACATGGAGGCCTTTTGCTATGTGTTAATTACTTTCTTCGTTCACTAAACAAAATTTTACATTTAGATACATTTTTACATTTTCATAATAGATAGCATGAATCTTGAGGCATATACGTTGATACTTACTGCATTACCAGAGATGACCGTATGAATTATCATCATGGCGACAGAATAAATAATTGAACGTTTCATTTCTTGACTTATTTTCCTTCTAATAAAGATTAAAGGAATAATACAATATTTTGTTTTTATGTTGTGGAACTTCATGTCAAATCGTTATTATGTTTATGTTTTGAATGACCTATTTTTCTGAAGATTTTCGTCTGCGAGTTTTATACCAACTATTTAAGGAAACAATGTCTGCTTTTTTATTACGGAACGAAGCCATATAATGTCAAGAGAAATAATTACCTTGAACGTAAACGAAAACATTCGATGGTACTGCGCAGTTTCGTATGTTTTTGAAATCATCATTAAATGCGCATATGCGAATTGTCACGTTTTCGTAGCTCTGAAACCGGAAGTTAGGATAATCTGCAGTAAGCATAGTTTCGTATTCAAAATTTCCCAATTTTTGCAGAGTAAAGTGTTGTTTAGATCCTCCGTTAAATCCAGCTTTGCAGTTTACTTGGATTTCACTGTTATTTACTGTTGTAGAGCAGTTGACTGGAATTTCTGGTGGACCTTAAAAGAAAAATAAAAGTTAATTCAAAGAATGGATCTTATGTTCAAGATATGCAACGTTTTTAATTAGTATTTATGCCAAAAGCTGATCATTTCTTCTTAAATTTTGAACAAAACAGTCTCGTTAGATATTTTTTTTTTCAAAATTGATAATTTTAGCAATAGAACTTAATAAGTGTTTTAATAGTTGAAACATTTTCTTTATAACATGTTTACGTGAAAATTGAATCTTTGATAAAAAATCAAGAGCAATTTAAATATTCAATCAAAATGAGATACATATCTGATGAATTAATTTGGGAATACATCTTCTGTTTAAATGATCTAAACTTGATATTGAGAGAATAAAGGGTGTACATACCTGGAGGTACAATCTCAAAGAGGCATGGCTTATCAGATTCACCTTCAGTGTTATTTCCGTAACACTCGATTTCTCCGTAACGTACTTGGCTCCTGCAAAATGAAATATAAAAACCTTGGTAAAAATATGAATATTCAATATTTCTTACATTTATGCGCTCTTTGAGTATTAAGCCATCTTCGATATGCAATATTATTCTTAATAGTCAATGTCGTCACCAATTGGGTGTGTGACTTCGAATCGGCATGCTCTGTGTACAACGGTGGAATAAAAATAGGATGTTTTTTGCTAAAGCCTAACGTCTTAATAGCGTTAGTGACAGCGCGCACAATTTTTTTATCATGATTTGTTCTAATCAATGAATATATGACATAATTATTATTCTTGTTTGTTGCTTCTCTTCATAGAAATAACAGCTGTCATTCAATTTATATGATACTGTTCCTAAGTTGTTGTTAAATACGTTAGTAAAATCATACCCAACAGTAAGATCAAGATCATTGTGCACAAGTTCGCTACCCTGCGTGTCATGTGTGCCCTGCATCCTTCTTATTCTTTCGTCATTCTTTTTATATCTCCATGTAAACATGACGTCATTTGGTGACGCCATCATGCGGCAACTGAGTCTAGCATTCTCTCCGAGTCTTACAGCAACTTTCTTTACTGAACTTAATTCACATACGGGTGCGTCTGAAATATAAATGAATCGCCGGTTAATAAGTGTTTTAGTTATAGATTAATTACGAGATATTTTTAAAATTCTTATGTGCGTAAATGATGCAAAAGAATTTAGCTTTAGACAAAATGTTACTTACATAACACTGTGAGCTTGACTTGCGAACTAGAAGCGGCTCCAAGTCTGTTGACGGCATGGCATGTATAATAACCGGCGTCCGAACTGAAATATAGAAAAAGCATTTAGGAATTAATTATTTCGTTGAGCTTCAGGTTATTTATTATTGAGATGCAGCATTATGTCGCGAAAACCGGTGTCATCGATGTATAAACTAATAAATGGTTCATTTTTAATAATCTTTGTAACTTCTGATTTAGATTGTCGCGGTTTTTTACCTGTCCGGTCCATGAAGAAATATATTTGAACAACCGTTTTGTTTTGTGTAAAGCAAACTTTACAAAAAAGCTTTTGTACTTACATTTCAACGTCACGAAGATTCAAACTGAAGATATCACTTCCGTTTGACAATGAATAGTATTTCCGGTCAATCATGGCGCCTTTATGGGTCCAATATAATTGATCGAAACGTGGTAATGGGTTCCCATCAACGAAACATCTGAAAGTGACGTTTTCCGCTTTTCTCGTTTTATATTCATCTTGGTCTATGGTAACATTTGGTTTATCTGTAATATTACATAAAATACGTGTCAATCAAATAAGATTAAAATTAAATGAGATATACTAGTATAGTTTTAAATAATGATTTAAGATCACTCAAAGATACTCAAACAGGGAAGGAGGATTTATGTTGACATGAGTTTGTGATTTAAGTGTTTAATGTTCTGTTGCTTAAATAATTAAGATCTTAACATAGATGTAAAATCGTGATTTTCTTTAATTGCTCGAATATAGTTCTTTCTTATGTTAAAAATCACTTACAAGAAGCTAATAAAGTGATTTTTGAAACACGTGGCGGAAGTCTTTGGTCCAGTAATACTTTATTTGTTACTGCGCATGTCAGAACGGAACCATTATAAGCACGTGTCATCTTTTTATTGAAGTACGCTATTACAGTTGATGTTCCGTTTTTATGAGGTTTAACCACAACTTCAACATCGCCAACCCTGTTCCCATCTATAAGCCAGAAAATGTTTGGCGCAGTGTTTCCGCCATTAGCGGCACATTCCAATTTCAAATCTGAGTTTTCATCAAAACTTCCGTCATATTCTCGTGACGTAATTTCCGGTTTTGATGGCGCCACTGTCAAGAAAACGGGGTTGAATGAATATTAATATACATCCTTTATTGTTAGGTTAACAAAAATGTTTTTGTTGAACAAGTTGCCTTGTTAATATAATTGATACATTTCATTTTTAAATCCTGAGAGAAAAATTCTGTGTTAATTCAAGAAAACAAGATAACAAGGCTGACAATGTAACCTCTTTCGTTTTCACTATAAAACTAAATAAGAATCGTCTAACATATGCTACCGTTCATAAATAACTAAATCTAAAAATTCTTTAATAATGCGATATATACTAAAAGAAAAATCATTGCACGTTACTTACAAAGAACGTCTGCGTCAACAGTGAACGTCTCTTGATAGAGTAGTGATACACTTATGTTACATATGAATGTCGTCTGGTACATATCCCTCGTGACGTTTATTGTCAGTTTGTTTATACGATGTCCGGTTCCGTTTGCGTACGTTGTATCCGTTACGTTACCGATTACCTCCGTTACACTTCCGTTTGCCGCTGTAAAAGAAACAACTGAACGTGATAAACATTTGAGCTTTGGATTCGTATATTTTTATTATATGCGAGATTTAAGATAAGTACATGTATGTGCCTGAAAATAGGTTTAACATATTCATGACATGAACATGGGCTTCAAGATTCCGTGTTGCCGCGTTCGTGATTGTACACGTGACTTTGGATAAGAGAACAATTAATCCAATCAATCAAGTCAGTCATTATAAAAAATAACTAATCTTTGAAATATCTTTCACGTTGATTCCTAGATAATAAAAAAATACATTTACTGAGAGAAAATAGTTCCAAAGTTTATTTTCTCTCTTTTCATTACGCAGTTACGAAGATGTTCGTGATGATACGGACATATCACGTGACTGAAGACTAAATTGATGAATAATGAACGAATCATTGTGGAATGCATCAGCGTAATGTTTTCTGTGTGTGATTTTTTTCTCAGCCTTAAAAAGCACACACGTCTCCTTTATTAAATCAGATTAAATAGAAAATGTAGAAACTACTTACATTTCCTGTACCATTTGATTTCCGGAAGTGGCTTTCCTCCGTCTGCTTCACATAATAACGTCACTTCCGATCCTTCTAACATCGGCTGCGGTGGTGTTACTGTAGCATTCATCATTGGCGGCTTTGCTAGAATAGAAATAAATTGATTGATTGATTTGAGAGCACACATTTCGTTTCCAGGAAATGCTTAAAATCATACAACTACTCACATTGAGTTGCTTTTCTGAACATGTTCTCTTGTTTGAGATATTTGTTAGGTATTAGGTAAATTCACGATTTGTCATATTTTCAATTTAACCTGACTCATGGCGTTAAGTGTGTATGTCGTAGTTTTAAAAGATACGCAAGAAAAATGTTTTTTTGTACTTACCAAGTACGCTAAGTTTTGTAGAATCGACGAAACTTTGGTTGTTGATATCATAGCACTGAAATACATTGTCGTCGGCTAGAGTGAGGTCGTGAATCACCAAGGATTCTCGTAAACCATTCTGTGTTTCTATCAAATATTTTGTCGAGTTCTCATTTATAACTTTCCCATTCATTGCGATAATGTTTCCATTTTCGCTCAACCAAATCAACGTCTTAGAAATTGGAACTTGGCACTCAATGAACGCTGTGTTTCCAAGGACTCCAAGAACCACGTCACTTCCGCCCGAAGCGGTTATAACAGACGATAAAATAACGAAGGCTAGCGGAAACATCTTCTTTCCATCTACATCTGAAAAAAGAAGTATTTATATTTATTAATGTATTGTAACTACATCTTTTATTTATAAGCATACATCAAGTATACACTTAACTTTTTGTGACAAAAAGACAGGTTGTAGATCTATAGTATCAGTGACCGCACTTTTCTTATTGAATAAATTTTGATAAAAAGTAAGACACACTTATATTATTAGTAATACATATTTTTGATATGTTATACGGTTCTTAATAAACGACTTTTTCACTGCAGTGAAACACATTTTCCATATTTTCACTAGTGTCTTGCTGGACTACTTCCTTCTAAATTCAGCCAATACACAGAATTAAAGAAAGTAAGGTCAATAAAGAATAAAAAGTATGTATTAAACAGAAAATTCAAGTTTTTTTTCTATGAATACGAGATTTATATTAATCTTGAGGTAAGAAAGTTACCGCCACTCGTGAAATATATTTTTTATGCCACTTGATGAAAAATCCTATATCAATTTTATAGAACAAACTTGAATAACATCTATTATTTATTAGTTTATCAGTAAACATGATAGTTAATAATCAATAAACTCACCAATAAAAATATTAATTTTAAAATAGTTCCACAATTGCACTGAGTGAATATTTTCTTTATAATTATAATTTGCTTTATATCAACAATAATACTAAAGCACTATGTATGTATATATTATTTTCGAAAAATGCGTGTACTCAAATATGTGAATTTCGTGGTATTTTGGAATAGAACTCGGATAGATTTTCATTTTATGTAGAAATTTCATTTTGAGTAAATGCGGTTATCAAAGAGACATTTTTGAGAAGCTTCATAGGACTTGTTAACTGATTAGATGATTAAGTGTTTAATTAATTACTTTTGAAAAGACAAACTTGAGTAAAATGTGTTTGTCGGACTAATCAAGCAAGTTGAGTGAGTAAACAAAAGTGAGGTGTGAACATCAAATTTTAAAATGTCGACACATATATATGTGATAAAAACAAAACTTGATGTGACAATTTCACACATTGATTGTAATATATGTTTGTTAATACAGCAACAATACAACACACATATAAATACGTAATAAAATATAAAATAAAAAAAAAATACGAAAATTACTTACATGTTATATTTTGATCTTATCTGAAAATACGAATACGAATTCGTATTATCTCAAAGTGAATCTTTAAAATGACTTAAATCACCTCTAAGTATTCGTAGCTTCATTTCAAATAGACACCATCTATTATATAAAACTGTTTTATTTCAGATTAAATTTTACAAGATAAAATTTAACAAAACATATTATGATATCGATTATTTTCTCTCCCTCTCTTTAAAAAACATAACATAAAATCATAGACAGAACTGCGACCGAAGCATCCCAAATATGTAAAACTTACAAATTGTTATTAATCACGGGTAAATAAACACGGGGAAATTGACTATACTAAGCCTATCATACTTTTATCGATCTAATGTTTATTTTAGTTTTAAAAACAAACGAAGTATTATCCGATTTAAGCGCTAAATTGTGCTAATTTCACTTAACAGTTCAATCGCCCACAAGAATTAGCTATTATTGAACGGAAATTGGATTTAGTTTATCGATGATGACTTTAGTTATATAATAATATATACTAGGTATGGCATTTTGCTGTTTAAATTGTTGGTTAATACGAAATATATCAATCATAACAATTTGATGATTTATTTGTGTTACGTACTATCCAGCTAGCTTACAAAAAGTCAGTGGTTCTATTCAGTTGCTCACTCATACCCGAAACAATATACGGGTAAATGACCATTATATAATTTATATTGTCAATGACACAACAAAAATATCATGTCCCGTAAGGTCTTTAAACTAAATGGGACATTTCCCCCATCTTCAATTCAATTTAATAACAGTGTCCATCAGACTTAAAACACAACAAAAATATCATGTGCCGTAAGGTCTTTAAACACAACGGTCTTCAATTCAATTCAATTCAATTTTAACAGTGTCCATGAGACTTAAAACACAACGCAAATATCATGTCCCGTAGGATATTTAAACTCAACGTGATATTTTCCCCTGTCTGTCCATCTGTATGTTAAAACATAGAATGGAAGCGTACGCATACATGTACTTCCATTCATACATATTACACGTATACAGAGGGCGGTGGTTTAGTTGTTAAGTTGTCTTCCTCTCAACCCAGGGATAACGGGTTCGAGCCCATGGGTCACGATCATGATTCCTCATATGTCACCAGTACTGATTGGTTTCAGGAAGTCGACTCGAAAGTGATTGATTCAAGTTGATTTATATTTTAATACCGATTTTAAAAATGATGTATGCGAAGGTAGTGAATTGTAGAATAATAGAAATGAGACTGTTAAAACACAATGTATTCATTTTACTTGAAGACATTTAATTAATATTAGTCTAAAACAGAAAACTTGAAGTTCACTTAAGATAATACAAATACAACAGGATATGTAAATAAAATAAACATTTTCAGTCAACTTAGGTTCCTGTAGAAATCTACGAAAATAGCAAGTTATTTGAAATGCATTAGTATCAAAGGGAGAAATCCAGTGCAGGGGCATGAAATGTGTTAGACAATATTTACCCCCCCCCCCCCGACAATCTGGATTTGAACAGACGTAAATTAAACCAGAGATTGGGCGGGGTGTTTGCATTGCGATTTGTCATATTTTCATACGTATTTTATTATGGATATGGGCTTCATATGTGTTGATCGGATGTGTCGTATGATAATTTATTATGTGAATATAATATATACAAAGGGAGTTATATAACTTCGTTCTTTTTTAAATCATCAGACTTTAAATTGATAACGAGGCTGACTCATTGTAATTATATGAGTTTTGTTTTCTGAGTGGTTAAGGTAGTTGACTTCAAACCACTTGCCCCTCACCGCTATGCGTTCGAATCTCAGCGGGGACATTGTATCCTTTCATGAGCAGTCTTACGAAACGTCGGTGGTTCTATTCAGGTGCTTGTTCCTGCCTGAAATAATGCAAATAATGGAATCTGAGGTCTTCCTCGAGTCTACCTGTAAAGTTGAAAAGTCGCCATATGGCCTCTACTGTGTTAGTGCGACGTAAAACTCAGTCAAATGAAAAAGAAATGTCTTTAAACATGATTGTGTACTTAACTTTGTTTCATCATGCATTGTTCCAATAAAAATAAATATCTGGAGGTTACGGGACACCCATAATGCCTACATAGACTCCATATTGTATCTTGCCCCACACATTTTTAATAAAAAAAATCTCATTGATACAGAAAACACTTCTCAATTACTCTTGAACTATTTAACATCACGGTCTCCGCCAAGCATCAAATGTCTTAGGCTGTTAAATTCGTGCAGTCTGACCGGACCACCTCGAACATGGGACCATTGGAATATCGTTCTGTGGCTACACCAACTGCGCTATCCGGCCGCAAACTTACACATCTCCCCCCTCCCGTTAAAAGTGAACAATTCTAAGAAAATAACCGATTGTCATATCGTACAAACCATTTATTAAACTGGAAAAAATAAACATACATTTGTATATATATATATATAAATGAAATATACTGTCTAAATACGATTCCCATCACGTATGCACAATATTTATTGAATAACACAGTTTCAACCTACCCTGAGAAAAATGTTCAGTAATTTCAATTTCAAAACCTATTTTTATATTTTGGTCGGTCATTAAACAGTAAATTTAAATTAATGGATTTCTTCTAGGAACATCCGTTAAAAGCTTTCTAGTTTCTAACAAATTATCACTTTAAATACATATTGCTGCTCATTTTAAAAGGGAAACCCTAAATATTTATATACTAATGTATTTTAGGACACAACCGGAAGTGTTTGACATGTAATGTCTAAGAAAGATCAGAAGTAATGAAAAAGTGGTGTTATTTGATGCCCCGCAAACATGCAGACGTTCAAATATAATCCGCGCTAGTATTAAAGCTTATTGGAAACCCACAGAGTAGAACAGACATGTAAAAAGATGACGTATCTGATGCACCATTTTACATTACTTGTCATATAAATATTATTTAAAACATTAATTTTGAGAGTTTTGGTGCAACTGTACCTTCATAACATATCTTAGTGTTAAGAAAATACACTTAAGCATATCATAAATCCGGAACAAAACGGCATATGTCATCACTTTTCGTAGAATATAAATATATATGTAAAAGTGTTTCAAAGATCACGAGTAACACAGAACTTGTCATTTAAGCGTTAAATGGCAAAGATGGGACAGAAAAAAAGTTGACCGAATTTATGGTCGCAAGGATACTAAATAAATTAATCTCATAATATATAAAACATAATTAAACTTTTTGATCGACAAAATTGAAAATATTACAGTCTCGATTTGATTGACGGCAGTGATAGATGCAAGCTTCGTAGCACCGTCCACGTCCCGTAGCACCGACTGAAGCAAACATTTTGTATTAAAAAGATTCGCGGTTTCTTGAAAGCTAGAGATTGCTTCTATGCTAATACATTTTTACAATTAACAATCCTTCTGTCTAATCCTTAACGTGCTTACCATGAGTTCCATATGTAATCAGCCTTGATCTCATTTATTCTGTTTTTAAATATGGAAATGGTTTAATTAAGAACTTAACATCAGGAGGTGTGTTTATACGATATCATAGAACTTTCATTATTAAACTTACTTACTTCTCCGTATAAAGAGGCGTGTAATTCCTGGCTGCTTGAAAACTAAATTACCTCTGGGCTAATGCATTTTTTTTTCATATGAAATCAGCCGTGATCACATCATTTTATTTTGTTTACATTGCATGCTTTTTTGTCTATTTTCGTTAAATGCTGTAATGCTTTGCAAAGCGACATGTGTATTTTCAACCTACTAAACACTTTTTAACAATTAAAACCTGCGAAGTATGTGACTGAACTTAGAGAACTAAGTTATAAATGAATTAGTTTCATTTCAGGAAGGAGAAAAAAATTCCACGGGAATAATCTTGTAGATAACATAACAGCTTGAATACAAATACATTTTTGTATTGAAATCAGCATTTCATTTCTAGTCAAAGATTGCTGTTTCCGATC